AGAATGAAGGGAACTGTGTGATTGTCAGGATGTCCTATACACTAGAGGTTTGATTAAGCCTGCACAGCAGGCGACGGTGAGAAACAATAACACAATGGAATCATGAGGATATGAGGATGGAAACTTATGCTACATATATCAATTGAGGTTTTTAATTGATGAATACGGCTGAATAAAGCTTTCTTTAATAGGAGATAAGAGGACTGGAGGAAATTCACCGTGGAAAACAATCACTGCAGAAGGCAAACCAGCAGAAGAACGAACATTGACAGAAAGTCTATTACCAAAACCTGTCAGTTGGTAGGCCTATGGCAAATACGGGCCTGAGATTCCCAGCAAAACAGTCTTTTTAATCCTATCTATCGGACTTGGGACACAAAGTCATGTGGAAAGTTTTTATATATACATTTTTGTATCTCTCCAGAACGCTCCAGCAAATATTTTAAAACTTATATTAACTTTGATTAAGAGTCAGTATCATAACGATCGTACTATTTTGTATGAAAACATACATTATCCTGTTCCCAAATCTATCTAGTATTCACCTCCGACTAACTACTGTCGATCTCGAGTTACAAAATGGCCCTAATGACGCAGAAAGCCGGGTTTTTTTTAGCAGTTCTGCATGATTGTCTTTATTGTGTGGTAGGGCCTACATTTTAAGCTCTTGCATTAGAAAATCCAAACCATTTTACCATTTTACCATTATCAACGAATATACGGAAGTAGGTATAGCGCCGTGTATAATGCTGATCTTGTCTGTCGAAATTTCCAATGTTTAAGAAATCTTTTGTATACTGGCTTTTCAAATTGGTACTAAATTTTGAAAGAATTTGATAAAAAAAATGTAGAATTTATGCCAAAAATATTGTTATCAAAAATGAATTTCCGTTGTGGTGGCAATCATGCAAATGAAGCCAAATTATAGAATAGTAGGCCTACCTAACCAACAATTTTTGACACTTTTTTGGAAAATCAGCCTAAATGAACATGGATATTTTGACGAAGCCGAACAGTGTGTGCATATATCTTCGCGTTGTCATGAGGTGACAAAAAAAATGCAACGGTCAAGATAAGGTTAGGCGTCTAAGTCTCTAATGTCCGAATCCCATGTTCCAAAAACCTACCATTTTAGTTCTTGATAATCTAGCTGCTGCTTGTATGAGTCGACAATGGATAATACTCAGAGCTAAGACCAGATTTCCAGTGGGAAATCATGGAATGAAGGCGGGGAATTACAGCGAACCTGCTCCTATATAGGTAACTCTATGAATTGGCAGAAATCATGTTATTGTGCCAACACGGCATGACACAAAATGTTGTCAACCCCTTTAACGTATTATAGTAAACATTTCTCAAAGGCTGTGCTACTTTCGGGTAAAAGTACCCTTCCAGGTTGCGTGTAACGTCCTGACAAAGACATTGCTTTCAGTCACATTGCAGTATGCATTTATGTATATAACGGTACATACATGTACTAACCCTATACCCTTACCCTAACCCTAACTTTAACCCTAACCTAACACTAGTGTAGTGTAGTATGCATTTAGAAATTCATTCAATATGCACTTTGTGGGACATATTCACCAAACAGAATAACCACAAATGGTATCAAATGCAGAGAAACTGAATTCACAAAGTTAACCAATTGAGAGTAAAATCTTAGAAGAAAAACACTGTCAGACGGGGAGCAGAAACAAGTGTCATTCAGTTTCACGCGTAGATGATACTCGTTTAAGCTCTGTGGCCCGATTTCATATTCATAATATTTTGAGGTTCCGTTTGCCCACCTCTTAAACTAGACAAGGCTTGCCTAGTCCAGCCTTAAGACAAAAGATATACTCGGTGCTTCAGTTAGTCAGTCAGTCGGTGACTCAGTTGGTCAGGCAGATAATAAAGTGACCCTTAAAATTGGCTCAAGCTACAAAACACATCTCTCTAAGTATCTCATCAGTATACCTCATGATTCTCCATGCTTGCAACTCATATTGTCATTGATGCTCTGAAGAATTGCTGCTTTTATACATTATTAATATGATTATAATGTATTCGTGGTTAGAAAACAATTGAAATGACTTATTTTGTCATTTTCTTTGCAATGATTTGGAGCTAAAACATTCAACGGTCCGATTCAATTCAACGAGGCAATGAATTATGAAACGTTTGAATTTGTCGAAGGCGCAGAGCGCCTGTTTCAATGTCATATAGCTATCTTGAATATTGTAATATTAAGCTTCGTAATTATCATAAATTCCAGTTTAAACGAAAGATGACAATGAGGTCTTTGTGCATGCAAAGGCTCTGAACCCGACCAGATGTTACCTCTTCTGTACAATGATTCTATTTTCATATTTTCAAAGGATCATGCATATTGTAATCCAGCAGCCATTAAGAGTAATGACGGTACAGAGTCGTTCTGTGTGATGAATTCATGGCTCTATCGACTGAAACCCGTCACAATACGCAATAGGGCCCTACGTGCTGTGTTGTTCCCGGGTTGACACGATGTACGTGATTAGTGCAGGCTTAGTGCAGCAAGACTCTCCCGATCCCCTGCCCAAGTCTGAGACAGACACGCTCACGTATACGGCCTCAGGTACCAATCATGGCAATTTTGAAAGCCAGATAATTGTCCATGATGGTTGGACTTCTGATTCCGCTTGATCCTGTAAGGAAACCGATCTCCACTGTTCGTTGTTTCCGCTGGACATAAGTTGCTTCCAAGCTTCGGGCAACGCCATCCGAAATGTAAAGCCACATACTTATGAATAGTTCGGAGATGAATACTAATTTGTTTAGGATTACATTACGTGTATAATCCGATTGATACTAAAATTGTATGTAAAACTGGGGAAACATGCATGGAGAACAGTTTCACTGTAGTGAATCTTCATATTGTATTTTTTTTATACAAGTATAACCTAATGTTAGTTAATGAATGTTTTGACGATTGTCTTAATTAATTAAGGTATATCTGACTCTTGATTTCGCGCTGTTGCTATCTTGAAGTTCTTTATTATTGCCTATTGGTTTGGATCACTTGGATGCGCGAGATATATTTTATATTCATATGAATAAAGCTTCCCTAATCTTCAAAAACAGTACTGGAATTGCGCACATCGAGTTTATCTGATATAACAATCTGAAATAACATCGTAGTTACTCTGCTAAGTTTGCGTTTTAGGTAACAAAATATAAAGTGGTTGTAAGAAAATGATCATGACAGTATTGGTATTATTCGAATCCAAATAAGTACTTGTTACATTATCATATCACTTATGAGAAGCAAGGGCTGATTTGGGGAGGGGGCGATTGGATAGCTACGACACCCCACCCTTCCGTCTGACATATGTTTATCATTTACATATTACTGGAAGAGAACACCAGATTTTCTCTCCTCAAACAACGTCCTACAGTTTAGCAAGTGACAGTTCGGTGCTTAAGGCCTCTGGTCTATGTATGTTACCTTCAACGCCTCAGCCACCCTAACCCTCTTTGAAAATGGATCCGCCATTGAGTGGTACACTAATTTCAAAACATGAATGCCCCTTGACTTTGTTCGTCTTCATCAGTTTGTCGCTTTCCATTACTAATGCACGGTGCACCTTGAGTATTCGGTCAATATGTGACGGATAAACTACAGGGAGCTGAGCAACTCTATCCGTTTGTCAGGCGATGCAGATAAGATCATGAAACAAAATCGGATATTTTACGCATATTGGCGTGGACTGCATAACCTGGGAGCGATCGTGTAAATCCACGTCGATACGGTGCTGGGTTGGGTCACACTCTTCGGAAAGTAGGCCTATTCTTGATGGTTGACTAATGAAAATCGAAGTAGAGTGATAATTACTTGATCAATTCAGAAAGAATTGAGTGGAAATTAAACATCCAATTAACTGACAACAAGCGTCCGTTATTAGGGTTCAAGCCGACCAGAACAATAATTTATGTTTCAGAAGGGAATAATTGGAGACTTATGAAACTTAATTACCATTCTATACATAATTCATCGGAAACCTACTTTCGGGTGATCATCATGCAGATTGGTACCCGGCCAACAGACCGACAGAAGCAATGTAACTCCTTATCAAATCCCGTGGAGCCCCGCAAGTATTTGCATAAATTGTAAACGGTGTTTCTTCTCTTCGATAGGGATGGGAAAACACTTCACTTCGTGTCCGTCCAAGCATTATAGGCTATTGGGACGTAGTTTTTTTTTAATTGGTCAAACTCTGGAATCAAAAGCAGAATCATTATAATATTATAAATGTAGCCGTTTTTGTTGAAGCAAACTATACAACTGAAGTGGAATATCACTGTTGATCTCGTGTTAGTTGACTCTCAGTCGCGTTAGTTGACTCTCACTCGTTGTCTATGTATTTATTTTTTACGAACTTAGTTGACTACTCTTCGAATCAAATTCACGAAAGCCATTATTTTGTGTACGTGACAGTTGTATTGCATTGAAAACCAGTTGGCAACGGTGGATTCTCATCGCAAAAAAAATAAATGTATTTGCTTTTGGGGGCTTAAACCTACAGTTCATTACTCTGAGTATAAGGGGATCCATGTGTTACATTTTAATAGCAAATTAGGAGACTTTTTGGGACGCAAGTAGGAATTGATGCAATATTACACAACTGCATTACCTACTGGTAAAAAATAAACTAATAAATAAAACAAATTCGTCTTTGGTTTAAAAAAATGTATTTTAATGTCAGGATGGTCTCTTTCGACTAAGATAGCCAAGAAATTATACATTGATTATTTTTATACCGAAAAAATGACCTTTTCATGCAGATTTTTGTTTTATTATATTATTTTTTTTATGTTTACATTCTTATAAAATGTGTGCGACAACAGTTCCTTTTTTTCTCTTTGAGAAACTGAACATAGTTCTGAGTAACTTTGAAATTATGTCACGGATCCTTAACTTAAACCTACATGAGCAAACTTAAAAGAAATCATCCCTTGTGGTCTTTTAGCATCCCACTTACCTTGTTGGAGAACGCAAAAGCCCGATTGCCTAGGCCAATTACTGGAACTCCCAGAAACCCACCGGCAACCGAAAGACTGAACTGGGTTCGCTCATCCGCTTGTACCACCACGGCAGATACGTCGGTACCAGCCAGTTGGTTACAAGTCTGTCGGTACACGTCCATAGGGTTGGGATGAGAAGATAGCACGACAGGACCAAGGTGCAAAGCCATACCTGACTCGGTAGCATTCACTTCCTGGATTGCTGTCAAGACTTGGTCATGGAAGAGGGAAAAGTTGGTGGCATCGTCGGACACCACAGCCACACGGACACTCTCGAGCTTGGAGGACAGGACATCCTTGGTATGAAAGAGAAAGATGACGACGGGAAGATAGGTGATGATGAGGCTGTAGGTGAGACAGAATTGAGATGACACCATCGTGGGTTTGTTGGCAGAAGTTATCTTGGACATACAAAACAGGTGTCTCAGACTCACGTACCAACAAACCAAAAGAGCAGAGCCCGTTCTTTCGAGTGTACCTCGTGTATGACGAGTTCGACTGCGATCCCTGGCGTCGAGGTTATAAGGTCTCCTTGCTTAATGACTTGCGCTGTCTCCAGGCCAACTACACGACCAGAAACAAAAATAAGGCTACGGGTTGAATGGAGGCCTGCTCGGCAAATTACTGCTAGTCTATCAATTCGGTGTAAGGTTTCATAAGATATGAGCCCAAGCAACAGGCGCACATTTGAAGAATCGTCTCCCTCTTTCCTTTCTTGTCAGCCTTTTTTCGATCTTGGCGGATGAAATTTCTTCCCTGCCTCTACCAGGGTTGTCTAGACTCTCAATTCAATGCCACTGGGTCAGTTTGGGTGTATTGATGACCGGAAGGGGCTGTTTTAGATTCGTGTCAGCGTTCTTGTCCCAGTGCCGTGGGACTGACTGACGGCACCCCACTTCAACCAAATGCCAAGCTCACAGCCAACGAAAACACTCCACACGAAAGACCAGATATACTTAGATAGTGAAGAGGGGAAGGGCAATTTCCACTGGACAAGAGCTAATTTCAGACGCCCACACCAGATTCAAACGAAACTCACGTATACGACTCCGAGGGGGATCATGCTATCAAGTGACAACTATCCATCTCACATTTGTCATTCAAGAGATGTCGCAGATTTATTTCGATTAATTTTTCTGCGGACATTGTCGTAGCAATACTCGGGTGAAAACGAGAAGTGGTCCACAAAGATCCATCATCACTAGCCAGTACGAAGTTTATTTCCTCCTGTAGTCAGTCCGGCTCGGGGTCTCGTTGTGTGGCCAATCAGCCTAGCGGCGTCACACTATATTTCGATCCGCATGTACTAAAGAAGGCGCCCTGGGTTAACGCGCTCACAGGTATCGCCACATAATGACGCATGTGAGCATAAACTGTCTACTGTAGATAGCACCAAACTCAACTAATGCGTGCGTGGAAGTGCAAAGGCTACCTGCGCAGGTCGTCCGACCTAGCACAGAGAGCGCGGCAAAGCCTTATGCTCTAACTTGCGATCTTTCTCTACGCGATTCAATCTTCTACAATCCACGAGTTATTACACTACTTCTTTTAATAGATAAAAACTGCTTGGTACCCTGCAACAGAGAAGTTATAGACATACTAGGACTATCGGTTGCCAGTGAGAACATATCGATATAGAGTGATCTGCGCGGATAGGTACTCTACATTATTGCTTACGTGCTGTTCTTAATGTTGCACGATCGTTTTACTGCGTGGGAATTCAGATTTAAACAATGTGATACGTCCATCAGTAAATCCACGTTGCATTTCAACAAATTGCATGGGTTACTTAACTGAATAGAAGCAAGCTCAAATACCAGTTGAAAATATCGCTTTGCCAAACATGCTACAACTGTTACAGTACACATAAATGTTGAACCAAAAAACTAGGCTTTTGTGAACGGTACAAATTCCCTTCTTTGACAATAACCATACTTCCACGGTTTTTTTTAATAAACAAAATATGTCCTCTGTTGAGTGAGACGATTTAAGCGCATCTATTTGCAGGTTGATGGTCATATACTAGTCACATGTCTTAACTGATGAAATAATTGTTAATGTTCAGTGAGGAAATAAACTGATGCCAGTTATAATTTTACTTCCAGTCCTCAACGGTGTAGCATTGAAGCCGTGTTGTCGTGATTATTTTTTACCCAATACACGGACCGTGACGTGATTAAATGCGCGTTTACTGACCATGTACTTGATGCCCGGATTCCACATCACTAATCTTGGGGTGTCAGTCCCATGTCAGATGGCAGCTTGTGGCCGTCACTAACCAGCACGTTTTGCCAATCTCGTTGCCAGAGCTTCACGGGAGATGTCCTCACTCCGTGGCAATCCATTTATCATTATCCCTTGAAAAGAAAAGGAAGGAGCACACAAAAGCGAGCCAGGGAAGCAGAATCAGAGATAACAGGCTTGGAGATTTCATTTTCCCTCTAGTAACCGGTCAAAAGGTCATCTTCGTGTAGAACTTATTAGTTTAAAGTCACATTCTCGTAACGATCGTATTGACGAGAGCCGCGATTGCAGAAACACGGTATCATATTATATAGGCCTATACATGTATAATGCACATTTTGGATGAAGTTAACATTCCGTTCAGGTGGCGTTTTAGAGTTATGTATCGCCCCTGAAAATGGTACCCATCCTCCTCAACCCCTTTTGACTTTTTTGGCCGGAAGCGGCGAGTTCTTGTCAAGATAGCGAAATACTATACGCTGCGAAATCAACTCCGCCTTTAGAGGGCGCTGTTCAAACATTTATGTTCGCAACATTGACATCTTAAACAAATGTATGGTTGGCATGTACAGATGTACATAATTATGCGGGTTTTTACGCAAAGTCCTTGCAGTATCGTGAATGTTGCATTTACATTTACGTGAATGTTGCTACTTCAAATGGTCATCGGACGAGCACTATCTAAGAGTTATTAGAGCTAAAACACTTTATTTGAGAAAAAAAAGAATATTTATTAAAATCTATCTGCATTTTAATAGGCCTACATTAGTTGGGCAGAAATTTCTTCAGAGTCCCCTGGAAAAACATAAGGAGGAACATGAGCCCCCCCCCCCCCGATCGCCACCCGTGTTCCTGACCGTCATACTTGAATGCGCTGTCATGACGTATATCGGGGCATAATCAAACCATAGAGATTATCAATGTCTCGATAATGTGTTATCCTTTGTAAATACTATGAAATAAAGAGAGTTATATTGCATGTTCCCTTAAGCCTACCCTATCAGCTAGGTGTTGGTTTTTCTCACTGACAGTACAATCGGCACATTCACTTCCTAATATATTAGTTCACGACCATTCATCTGTAATATTCAGTAGCCTAGTATATAATAAAACAAACCTTTCTAAATAGTGAGGTACCTTAGTAACAAAAATGCCAAGGATCGTTACACGGTGGACAAAAGCACCATTTTTTTTTTATATCAAAGCATCTCCATGGTGAACCTTTTAAAATAAAGGTAGGATGCAAAAAATTGGATGATGGGAAGGGCAATATATGACGTCATTGGAGTGATGTGGCCTCGTGGTTAAGGGCACTGGATTCATGGCCTGTGGGTAAAGCTGTGGGTTGTGGGTTCGAGTCCAGCCGGGGTCATGGTGCGTGTGCCCTTGAGCAAGGCACTTTGTCACTCGTTGCTTCTCTCCACCCAGGAGTAAATGGGTACCTGTGAGGGCAGAGGTGGTTATTGTGATTGAATAAGCTTGCCTGCGCCTAACAGGCAGCATCGAGCTGTATACTCCCCAGGGAGCTGAGATGGTATTTGGAATGTTTAATTGGCCCAATGATCAGCGGTAATAATAATACTGTAAGCGCTGTGATTTAGTTTACTAATAAGAGCGTTCTTAAATGCCGATTACTATTATTATCATTATTATTATGACGTCAACAGCTAATTATTAAATGACAAAAATATACATTGATAATATCTTCAGAACTACAAGCATCACAACAACAAATGTGGTATCAAATAAAAGGGGACAAGATCTTTCTTTTGAGTGGTATGTCATTGGAATGGAATGTAGTTAAGGTTTTTTGGTCAAAACAAAACTCTTTGGGTCAAAAAACCTTTTTTGGTGCTAAAATCATGGATTTTAGGTAATCATTCTGGCACCTTGTTTTAACATGCAAACCGTAAGTGGTATTGTGAGTTTTTTAAGTCAGAGAGAATGGTTTAAATTCTATGCCAAAAGAGTTTTTGTAATTGATTATTGGTATCTTAAATGTTTAAACTTATTCCAAAGATAGGCAGACAAAAAAGTAGCATAAGTTACATTCGGGTGCCCATCCCAGTGTATCTCAGTTACAGATTCATCACATGGTACGTTGTCGAGCTTAGAGGGGTTGGGCAATCTGCCGAGTGCATCTGCGATCACCATCATAGCACCAGGTTTGTAGACATCGTCGAAGTCGTATCCTTGTAGCTTAAGACGCTGCAAGCGGTGTGGTGTACTGGCTAGGATTTTGCGCCAGATCGTAACCAATGGTTTTAATGGTCAGTGACAACAATGAAGTTGGAGCCGAATGAAGTTGCAGCAGTGCCACAGCTTCCCTCTCGATATTCAAGAATATGCTCTGGGAAGAGGATCTATAGGCTCTTTGAGGAAAATGCGATGGGTTTACCTTCCTGGGTGATACCCAATCCTCTTTCAGATGCATCTACTTTGAGGACGGTTTCTATACCTGTGGGTCGGAGAATCGTAGCCAGGACTGAGATGGAGTGTTTTAAGGGTCGTAAAAGAAGCTTGATTGTCCTCTTGCCAGAGATATGGTGCATCTTTTCGAAGTAGATCTCTGAAGGGAGCAACTTTGTCTGCGCAATTTGGAGTGTGGTGTGAGACAATGTTGACTATGCCAAGGAACCGGCGATGAGATGTTCGGTTGCTCGTCATGCTCCCGAAGGGAGACCGAATACTGCAATGTCGTCACGGTGATTGTTCCAACGCATCAAGGCACCTAGGTTATTTCGCCATCAATATTTTGTTGGACTATAATATTGGCTTGCTGATAAGCCGATGGGTGGGCGACGAATGCTGCTCTTCAGACTCCTCGAGATGGGCAGACCAATACCCTGCTTTTGACGTCTAGCTTGGAGAAGAACTTTGCCGGTGCAAATTCTGGCTTGAGCTCCTCAAGAGTGGGGATCATTTGAAAACACCTTTTAAGGCGTGTGTTTAGCTGCTTGGGATCCAGACACATCCTGAATGGGCCGTCTTGTTTGGCAGATGCTGTGATTGAGCTGCACCGTCCGTGTGATGGGAGACTTTTTGTATGACCCAGTGAGAGCGCGCGTCTATGTCGTCGAAGGTGTCAAACTGCGTTGGGAGCCGGTCCTTCAGGTCTTGTATGTCTCTCACC